AAGTCCTTGCGTGTCCGTTAAGAATGTCTCTGTCTTTGCGAATTCGTCTCTAACTTCATTATGTAGTCTGCTTCTTGTGTTAGGTGCTTTATTTGAAACCCCTTCATCTCTTCTTTTATGTTTATGCATTCTACAATGGCTTAAATTTTTTTGTATCTAATCAATGAATATTGTTGAATTTCAAGAAGGTGTATATTGAAAGCCATTCTGGAGTGAATAACAGAGATTAGCAAACCACACGAAACCAAATCCAGAAACGGATTCTGTTTGTAGATTTCTGTTGTTTTAAAAGTGTAGATAATCAATAGCAAGTTGTAGCTTCAGACATGGCAAGACACGAACGTATCGTAAATACCGGTGTTTTTGCACTTCAACAATATGTGTAAGTAAGCACAGGTGCAAAGGACAAGCAAGAAAAGGATACATGTGGATCATGGAAGGGGGGGGGGGGGGGGGTGTGACCATATAGATATAGCTATAGATATAGATATAGATATATACACATAAATACATATGTGTGTATGTATGTGTGCAGGCCTGTATGTATGTCTGTCTGTCTGTCTGTATGTATGTATGTATGTGTGTATGTGCGTGTGTGTGTGTGTGTGTGTGTGTGTGTGTGTGTGTGTGTGTGTGTGTGTGTGTGTGTGTGTGTGTGTGTGTGTGTGTGTGTGTGTATGTGTGTATGTGTGCATGCATGCGTGAATGTATGTATATGTATATATAGATGTTTATGTATATGTATCTGTATGTATCTGTATGCATGTGTCTCCATGTGTCTGTATGTATCCAAAATTTTTTAGCTATATGTATCTATATGTATGTATCTGGGTGTATCTGTATGTATCTATATGTATGTGTGTATATATATATAGTGTACATATATATATATATATGTGCATATACACCTATGACTGCATATACATATACAAATGCGTATGCATATACAGATACATCTGTATTGTATATATGTATATATCTATACAGCTGTATATATATATATATATATATATAATTATATAAACATATACTGCAAGACATGCTGCATACCCTAACCTGGTTTGAGACCGAGGACATCCTTCTACTTGACTTGTCGCAGCCCCCTATCAAAAAACATCGCATGGCCCAGACGTGATGCTACTATCTGGTACTGTATACTATAATAAACGAATCAGAACTATAGCTATATGAACCCTGGCCTAAGTTTTAACATATACCCTCCTGGGTCAACCTATAGTCCCTGTACACTATCCTGCGAGGTCATCCCAAAACCTTAACTTTTGCGCCCGTGGCTCATACAGCTAACACATCGATCACCCGAGCTGAGGGTCCCACGCCTCCCCTAGCAGCCGCTTCCGCCCACCACCTCCAAGCCTAGAAGGGGTTTAGCAGGCACTGAAAGCCTTCTGGGAGTTTGAAGGGCTTTGGGGTACTATAGTATATAAGGGATACATTAGGAATTATTAGGAACTCCTCAGTCCGCTACCAAAATGCTCTGAAAACCACAATAAAACAACGATGGATACATGTGTAAACCATGCACAACCTGACAGAAATAAATTAAACTGGGCCAAAACGACGTAAAGCATGCCAAAATGCCAATCAACCCCGGTAAAGATGAGGAAAAACCCCCTCCTGTTTTAAAACACTCTGTACAACTTCGTAAAACTCCACGGAACACTCCAAAATGCAGCGTTGAAGCTGACTGGGATCCAATCAAAAACCTTAAAAAAAAGAATGTGTGTCCTCCAGCAAGTGTTAGATTCTGTTTTGTGTTGCTCTATCCCCTTCTTCAGTCGTGATGAACGTGCAGTATTACCGGCAGCCACGCAGTGCCCAAGCGTTTAGGGCTGCCCGCGCAACTTCTTCTTTTCTGCTTCAGGGGTTGCGAACTCCCTAAATCCCTTTTCCCAAACCAATCTCCCTTCAGATCCCCTTTCAGCCGCCCACCTCCTGTGTGCGAGTTAGGGCTTGGCCTTCTGGTGTGGCATTGGGGAAGGGGCGGGGGAGCATCTGCCAAACTACCCAAAACTCTCTGTGCTGCGCAGGCAGTGGCCGGGATCATTGTCATGAAATTCACCTGCGAGGCAGGCTGGATCCGCGCGGAGCCAAAAACCATGTGTTCCTGCTTGCAGGGCAGTGCTGCCGTATGCAGCTGCCTCTAGCAGACTCTAGCACAAACATAGTTACTACACGCGCATGCAGGCTACCTTAACACTGGCTTCCTAGCCAGCCCAGCCCTGTCACTGGAAAGCGCGCCGTTAACGAGTAGCTCATCGCAAAGGCAAGGAGTATCACCGTGATGACACCTTGTTCGACACATCCCCTGGAGCCTTGAAGCCAGGAGTGGATGGTTCTGGGCAAAACCTCAGCTGCCTGCAACAGTTTCAACTCAAGCTGCTACAGCTGTCAGCAACAGCAAAAATCTCAGACATGCCTCAGCGGAATACTTTTGAGGAAGCAGCTACACAAAAATTGCCGCCCCCCATTCGTGCTTCCTTCGCCAACTCTTTGCTTCTAAAAAGCCACTGACCCCTTACTCAAGGACTTAGTCACGCTTGGGGCCCATAGGCGGTACCCATTGTTTTGGTACGTACAGCTCAAATCCAGTTGCATTCTCAGGATAGACGGCGCATGGGGATATGATCCACGCGGCCCCTGGCAACTTGAGTAACTTGAGCTCTCAAGACGTCTCAAGTCACATGAGCGCTCACGTAATATCACTGAACCTGGGAAGCTGGCTAAGCTGGCTTCGGGCCCATCGCGACGCACCTCGGCGGGCTTGACAACAAAAACGCTGCGCCGACCCGCTGGAAGCCTCAGGACCCGACTCTGGCTGCGGGAGAAGGACCGCAAACCCCCCCAAAAGGCCCGCAAATCAGCCCCCAAGTGCAGACTGCAGAGCTCTGCAAGGGCACACGGGGTCGAGCATGTCTGCAGACTAGCTCAGCATGAACACCGGGTTTTTCTTGAGCAATCTGGCAGAACCGCCGCGCTCTTGGATTGCAAACCCGGTTAGTTGCCAAGAACTATTCAGAAAAAAAAAGGTGTTGGGGTCTCTAGACATGACCCAGGCTTACTAAACAAACATGTAGCCATCACCCACCACACTTGATCGAGAATGAAAAGGCATGGGTTCTCGGCCTCGCTGTAGCTGAGGAAGTTGAGAGATGGCATGGTGAGCACTGAGCTACTTGATGCAGATGAGCGCAATCAATGGGCCTTCTGGGTTAGAGCCTGCTGTTGCTGGACAACAACTACGCGTAGATGCTTTGCAGATCCAAGATCGGCCAGGCGCTTTGCAGCAAGAGCTGAAGACTGTGGTGGACAATCCATCTGGGAGAAAAGTGACAGTGGAATCGTGGAATCTGTGGAGAGAGTGACGTTGGTCAGTCCTCTAAGCTCAAGTGTTGTGCATCATTCAAGGATATTGTGGGTGCTATGAAAGGCTACAGTTAATGCCCAACATCCAGAGCCTCTTTCAGCTTGGGCACATCTCTCTACGCATCTCTGAGCACGTAGCTTTGCTGACCTGGCTCTCGTGGACCTTTCAACAGCCTTCGCGCTGCCTTGAATCATATCCTTTCCATGATTTCCTGGACTGGGGTGCCAACATGGCGGGGCTCCACTGCTCCAAAACAGGTGGGACATGCGCCGGGTGTTCCCAAAACAAGACCTACCAAGGATGTTGCACCACGGAGTTCAGCAGCCAACATCCTTTCCTACCATACCCCTTACTACCCCTGATTTGGGCCCTTCTGGCCTTACCCTGAAGGTTGGGATGAGGCCGCAGGCCTTAAAGGCTTTAAAGGCCTTAGAGGCCTCTGGAGTCAGCCTGGAAACCCCGAAAATCGAATCACGACGAACGTCCCTCACTGCACCTGCTTGGGCTTGGGGAGGGCCAGGCGAAGGCCCCGCAGAACAGAGCTGATGCTTTTGATGCTTCCAATCCTTTTGTGGTGCTTGCGGCAACTTGGCTTGGAGACTGCCTTCTGGCCGGAATCAGCCTTAGACGGCAGCGAGGCGCTCTCTTCTTCGAGGCGCTCTCTCTCTCTCTCTCTCTCTCTCTCTCTCTCTCTCTCTCTCTCTCTCTCTCTCTCTCTCTGTCTCCCTCTCCATTCCTTCTATCCAACAGGACATTTTGGACGTGCACCGCGCAAGGACAGTGACAAGGTTAAATTTCAACAGCCACCGAAGTTAAACCAGTCAAGATTTGCTGCGGTAAGGTTCGGGTGATGTTATGCCGAAACAAAACGTATAGTATGCCGAAGTCTTTCAAAGCCAATCAAAACATTGTCAGAGAAAGACTAATGCTGCATCACTTTGCAGTTGCCATTGTATGTTGTGTTCGCCCAAAAGCGGTTCCAATGTCATTGCATTGTTTGAATCGGTTCTGCTGGCCAAGCCTTCCGAGAGTTCAGCCAAACAACAAGGAACTGTTCTGCAACTCGGTTGCCCTTCATGCAATCCGATTGCTCCTGCATGTTATCCTCGCATTCAATCCCCCCTCCCCTGGGACTTCCCCCGTCGACTGCAGTACTGAAATAAATCTGTTGGTCACGGGGACCCACAGGTTGATGTTGGCTTGATGGATCCATGTTCGAGGTCCTGCAGTTCTTCTCTGTATCGTTCCAATCACAGGGCCATGGCCAGACGGGACGCACTGTTTTCAAATGGCGCACACGAAGATGCCAACAAACTCTGTTTGGGCTTGCCTTCTTGGCTGCTGATGTCTACTGCTGCTGCACGCTGTTTGTCGCATGCCCTTGTCAGCTTCATGCAATCAGCCATGCTGCAGATATATCACACGGCATGCATGACCAGAGGACTTCTTTACACTCCTCCTTGAGCTTGCACTCACGGGCAAGATCACCAAGCCCAGTGCAGCTGCATCGTGGTGGACCATTATCCACTAGTGGTGCAGGCCTGCTCCACAGGCCATAAGTTCATGCATCCTTTCTTTGCTGCGTTCCCTTCTCACATTGCTGAAGCCATCACCTTCACCCATTTCTCTCATACAACGGTCGTCGTCCGTGGCAGTAAGCACAGTACTCAATACGATGCACCGTTCCACTGTTGCGAAGACCACTGCAATGCGGATCGGTATGCAGCCTGCTCAAATTTGAGCTCGTTTTCCAGAAAGCATTTCTTGGATATTCACGGTATTGAACTCGATCTTCACCACGAGCTCGTTGACTTCGCTGATTCTCAAGTCTAACTTCCGGCAACGGAGGTCTTGGAGGTGGCTCGTATTCATCGGGAGGAGGAGGAGTGGGAATGTGGTCTCCAGCATGTAGAACTGCCCTTACTTCATGTAGACCAGCGGCTTCCGCAGCTACGGCCGCTTCATAAGCAAGCTGCGTTCGATCCAGCTCCTCCTCAGCTGCCATCCTTGCTGCCTCTCGAAGCCTACGAAGTCTCCTTTGTTTTGGAGACTCCTCAGAACTCTTCCAGCAACATGAGACCACGTATTTCATCAATTCCCAGACGCCAATAGCTGCCACACAGACCAAGATGGTGACCACAATCAGCTCTTGCCATCCAGCTACCTGCAATCTAGATCCTTCCGATTCTGGCTCTTCGTCAAGTTTCTTCTTCCCATCTGCCGCCACGACCAACGAAGCCAGCAGAATGCAGACACACAAACGAACACCAAACGCCCTTACGGCTTCCAGCGGAAGATTGATGAAGCCCCATGCCTCCAAAAGTTGCCAGAGTCTCGCCTTTCCATGCATCTTTGTGGCTAAATCGGCAAGTTGTCGTTCTCCATCGATGTGGGAAACCTGTAGAAGGCCTTGCTCAATTTGGCTCCTGACATGAGCACATCTCACCCTCAAATGCCGAGTCCTCCAAGACCCGGCTCCGCCTTCAAGCATGCTCACAGCAGCGCTATTGTCCACGCATAGCAGTCGGGCCACACGAGTCTTGTAAGTTTCATCGAACAAACACCCTACGCTTTCCAAGAGCGTGGCAGCCTGTGAGGCCTCGTACAACTCTGCTTCCATCACGGAAAGTGTCACGAAAGCTTGCTTGCTTGCCTTCCAGGAAATTGGAGAACCAGATGCCGTCACAAGCGAAGCGCCGAAGGATTTGCCCCCGAACGGGGCAAACGAGGCATCTGAGTACCCCGTGAGGCAGATCGGGGCTTGTTGTGTGGCGATGCTCAAGTCTTGGTCACATCCAATCACCAGCTTCATGTCCATCGTTTCCTTCAAATAGGACATCAATCTCAGGCCAATCTTCGCCACCTTATTTGGCTGCTTGCTGACTCTGCTTGCCATGTAATTCACCGGGAACAACAAGTCAGGACGGGTTCTCATAGTCAGCCATAATTGTTCTCCCACGATTCGTTGCCCATGCCGAAGCTCCGACGCCGAGAAATTCATCCACTCCTTCGGACACGGAAGCTTCGTTGGGATCGCCTCTTCTAAGCCATGCGACCTCAACAGATTTTTAATGTAGGCCGATTGGCACAGCTCAAACTGCTTCTTCTCATTCTGCCTGATTTCAATGCCCAGGTATCTCGTGCCTTCTTCGGATTCTGTCCATTGTAACGGACTGCAAGGCCACTCTTCCTCCACCCACGCATGAAGCACCTTGATCAGATCGCTCTCCGCCAAGTAGAAGATATCATCCACATACGTGATGATCATTGCTAGTAGCTCTGCTCCGGCAAAGTCACCCTCATAGACGTACCAAAGCTCCGGGTCCACTTCCGAGGCCTTGAACTTCAAGTCCTTTCCTTGGTACTTGACCTTGGCATTTGACAGGCGATTTGACCGACACTTGGACCAAATAGCCGGCGACTCCCTCAATCCATATAGAGGACGAAGAACCAACCAAATCTCCCCAGGCTCTGCGTGGCCGCTCTCGAACAACACCCTCGGAGGGATGATGCCATATTTGGGAAGATCACTAGGCCAATCGGCAAGCAAGAATGCCGCTGTGATGTCAGAAGTGGCACCACTCCATTTCTTGTTGGTCGCAATGGCCAATGCTGCCCGAAGTGTGTCTGCTGTTACCCCGCCCGCGTACAAGTCGAATTCACCTTCACCACGGGCAACAAAGTTCCCACATAGCACCAGTCTAAAGCGTCTGCGAACCTTGTCTCCAGCCACCGTAGGAGGTTTCATCGTCCACACTCCCTTTGAAGGAACTATTTTCAGTTCCCCACGCTCTTCCATTTCTTTCGCCTCCGATGAAGTGATCCGACGGAGCGTCCCTTGAAAAAGCGTGGTGATCTCCTTGGTGATTGCTCCCTTCCACTTCGTCAACGCTCTTCTGTAGCTTCCCCGCCAATGATGACAAGGATGTTTTCTCTCGGACTCTTCTCCTTGGCACTGGAAGATCCATTTCCATCGGGTCCAAATCCACCGCCTTGTCGGGCTCCACAAGATAAGGTCTCAAATGCGCAGAGGTCACGTAGGAGCCATCGGGGAACCTCACCACATAACCATCCTTCATGTCTGAAGAAGGACCCACATAGACTCCATCTTTCCAGCGATCATCAAGATCAAACTTTCCACCTGTTCCATATACTTTGGCACGTACATGTACAGGAGTACCGAAAGGCAGCGCCTTGTCTCCATGTGTGACTTGTAGACGTTGTCGATGAGCTGCATAAACCATAGCTAATGGCCAGCAGCTACGTGGAAGTTTGGTTTGATTCAACAACAGCTTCGCTTGGCCCTTCAGGTACTTGACGGTGGCTTCGGCCCTTCCATTACTCTGGGGAGACTGTCCTTCTCCGGTCGTGGGGATAACTTCTCTTTCCAAGAACCATGATCGTAGTCTCCAATTCCTCAACTCCCTTGCCCGATCAGAGTGACAACGAAGCACTGGGTATCCCTGCGATCTCACTTGCATGTACATCTGTCTCACGCACATGTTGACTTCAGCTGTTCTTCTCGAGGTCATCGGAATAGCATATCTCAAGACGTCATGCTCCGGGCACTCCTCCCCAATCTCCTCACACAGCTTCTTGTACTCGGCGTTCTGAACCTCCATGTGTTGTCGGTCCTCAGGGGAAAGATCCTCTTCTTCTTCGGGCTCCTCCTCAAACAACGCCTCTAGTTCCTTGACCAATGCTTCGTGCTCCGCATCCTCATGATCACTGGACTCCACCTTTGGTTCCCCCAGCGGTCCAACTCCAGCTCCGTCATCAGGCAAGCGAGGACACACATAAGCTCCGACCAAGGCATACTTGAACTTCGTTCCATCGGCGGTTTCCCCCTTGACCCTGAAAGGACCAGCAACATCCAGAGATAGGGTACACATAGTCGGACTTTTGATAGTCCTGTGACACCTTCCTGTAGCCCTTGAAACCACACAAGTTCGACATCTCCGATGAAAGGGCATGTGGTTTGCCTTCACATGTTCTGACCACCGCCTTAACTCCCGCGTCGTCATCTCTGAAAGAGGCCCATCCATCCGCTTCAAGAAGACGCCATTCCTCCACCTTTGCATTCCGCCCACAATGGCCTCCTTGAACTGCCTGGTCCACTGTCGCGGGGCTCCAGATTGTCCTTGCTGATGCCATAGTCCTAGTTCTGGCTGAACAACCATGTTAGTAATCATCCTGCTCCCTGCTTCGTTTCTGATCCCAGTGAAGCCATTCTCCTTCTCAAAGGTTTTTCCGATCTCATCCGACCAGAAAGGATCATCTTGCCTCAACTGGAGCACTAGTGCCGGGGGAGGTAGTCGAAGATGTCGATTCCCTGCATTCGCAAGCTGCCACAAGAACAACTGCTTCAGGATCAGCTCCTTGGAGGTCTCCGCATTGGGTGGTTCGCCGAAAATTGCCTCAATGTGTCCACCGGCTGCAGCCCACAGCAAAGCCTGATACATAGCGCTTTCTCCCTTCATGTTCATCAGCTTGCTCTTGGCCACATCAATTTCCACCATCACCACCCCTTCAGCTTCTAGGGCCTTCAGCTCGTCGCTCAATTCCCTTCGAACTCCTGAGTAAAGATGAACCACCCATCGCGACGTCATCATTCTCCTGCGCATTGCTCGCTTGAAAGGGAGTGCCTTCAAGTATCGATGTCCAAACTTGTAGTCCACGTCAACATCCCTTGCCAGCATGCACCGTTGCTCCTCGGTTAGTCCTCCGAACGGACTATCTTCCAACATCAGCGCTTCCAGCATGGTTGTTCTTGCCCCCGACTGACAGAAATTTGCCAATGCTTCCTCGAACCCCTTCTTCTACTCCATCTCGCAGAGCTTAGCACATCCTTGGGCAGTCTTCTCCTCCAATTCCTGGATCTGTTTCTCCTCCAATTCAGCTATCAGGTCCAAGGCTTGGGTTTCCGCCACCATAGGACACCCACCGGAGATGTACGTTGTGAGGACACCGTGCCGAGGGTGTTCTAGTCGAAGCCCATGATGCCGTGTCCATTGCAACTTGCATCCCAGCTGCTCTACTAGCGCCCCCAACGGAATGATCACAGCTGGCGATTCATCCTCGCTCGACATAGGGATTGGCATGAGGGTTCCTGCTGGGTTCTGCTTTAGCGCCACAATCTGGCCGTCGGCAAGCTGCACATGAACTACTGTCGCTTGATCCAGCTCTTGAGGGCTTCCTTGTCGGAAAGCATGGGTAGCTCCTGAGTCCAGCAACGCCAATTGGCCTTCATCGATTTTTTCTTCATATTTTCGCACCTCCCTCATGAGCTTCGGCATTCGCAACGCCGACAAGTGTCCCAACTTCTTGAGCATTGCATTGGCCTCCTGAAGCAACGATTTCAGATCTGGCTCTTGCGACACTTCGGGTACTTGAGGGACTTCCGCACTTGAAGATGCCGTCGTTGATGGAGCCACATACGGAGCTTGTTCTCCACCTTCTGCTGGTTGAAGCACATTCCCTTGCAGCGCTGCAGCCTTCGGAGTAGCACCTGTCCCAGGGGTTGGCCTTGACTTATTGCCCTTTCCCTCCTTGGTAGGACAATCTCCTTGTCGATGCCCTTTGGAGCCACACGTCCAACACCGAGATTTCTTATCTTCTCGTGAAGCGAAGTCATGTCCATACTGACAGGCACTTCCTCGTCGACACCCACTATCACTCGCAAAGAACTTGCAAGGTGTCTTGGCTGAAGTTGAAGATGCTTGAGTCCTTCCATTCTTAGGTGACGGGGATGGCGTCGTAGTTGCTTCACCTGTGCCTGCTTGTGCTCCAAGGGCCTTAATCCTGGGTGGCTCCGAATTGGTTGTTGTAGATTTCCGAGGAGGTGAAATCTGTTGGAGCTCTGCCAATGCGTTGTTGACATACTTCATGACCGATTCCCGACTGGGGCGGTTTTGCAACTGCAAGTCATTCTTCACCAAGGACAATCTGAACCGAACGTCATGATGCCTTTCTACTGTCTTGCCGATGATGATCTCAACGCCCCGCAGCAGAACGCTCGCATCTGGAGGAGATATCCCACTCTCTTCGGCCCGCTCCAAATAACGACACCACTTTCTCAGCGCCGTCACCGCTTCATTCGGATCCTCCCCAGCACTTGCCCCTTCCAATTGTCTCAGGATTGCAGCCCTCTCTGACGATCCGCCCGGCTGGTAGAGGATGTGGAGTCGATACAGGGCTGAAGCGACATTGCTCACCCTGTGTGTGACCGCATCTTCTCGAGCTGTCACCGTCATCGCATTCAAGAGCAACGTCAACACCCTTCGGTCCAATCTCGACCACTTGGCTTCCTGAAGTTCTGGCTCCAGGATGGGAACGATCGTCAATCGCTCAAGCGACGTCGCTCCTTGATACTTCTCATATGCACGCCGAGCACATCTCAATGTCAAAGAGTACCACATCGAAGCCGAATCCGTCAATCCTCCGATGGTTTGCTCAGCCACATACAACCAGTCTGCAAACTCCACTGCCGAATCGCCAGTGATTTGGGGCATTGCCTGCAGCTCCACCCCACCCTTGATAGCCTCAGACTCGGGGCCCTCCTTTCTTGTGATCTGCAGCTGCTGCAACTGTCTCATCCCTTGGACCAAAAGTTGCATCGCCTCAGCATTGGTGGCCACGGAGTCCACGGATTTTCCAGATGTCAAAGGCCCAGGACCTCCGCTGTTGATCCCCTTTCGACCAACCGATCCCGATGCTTCTTCGGCTCCAGTCAATCCACCACGATCTCCCCTCAAAGCTTCTCGACCTTCCATTCTAGGATGTCCTTCAAGTGGAGTTCCTCGTGGTCCTCCAACATGGCCATATATTCCGGGAGGAGCATCTTGAGGTAGTGCAGCACTCCAACCTTCACCTCCAGGCTTACCGCCAGACACGGCATCACGTTCTGGTAGTCCAGAAGAGGCCTCGCGGGTCTGAGCGCTTCCCCCTCCTTCCGGTTGCCCTGCAACTTCCTCCAACACCTGGGAAGTCGCCTGCAAAGCCTTCCGAAGACCCTCATTCTCAGCCTTCAGGTTCTTCATCTCTGCATCACGTCCTTCAAGTGCCATTTGCACCTGCCGTCTGACCTCCTCCATGATCAACTCCTGAGGTATGCTTCCCGAAGAACTGTCATCACGAGCAGCCCTTGGTCGTGGTGAAATCAACGAAGCTTGATTTGTCCACACTTGCATTGACCTCTGCACTTCAGGAGATATCAGCTGGGGTGAAGGTGTTGAGGGTTGAGGCCGAGTCCAGGGATTGCCTTCACCATGTTCCTGAGCTCTATTGGTCACTCCCTGCACGTGCTCCAACACTGGATTCAACACCCTTCGATGCAAAACTTCGCTGATCCTTGTCCTGAAGGCCCACATACCTCCATGATGTCCCACCTCGGTTTCTCTGAACTCTGTAGGCACTGGCGGAGGAGGTGTACCCGGGGAAAAAGGGTTCCCAAGGCGGAAACCAACATCAACTCCTGCGTATTCAGGGGCTGGGACTTGCTCAGGTACAGCCGGAGACGAAGATGATCCAGTCTGTCTCTGCGAACTCCCTCGTGCTACATGAGGCCCAACTCCTGCTTGAGGTTCGCTCCGATGTATTCCTGGGGCTTCATCTCGTGGAGGCTCTGGTGGAGGTTCAGGTACAAAGCTGCTGATGCTATTAAAGGCTGGTGCTGCAGGTTGTTCGACTGCTGTGGCTGCAGGTGTGTGTGTATGTGGGCTTACCTGCGTCGTTCCTTCGTGTACTGTCGCGCCCGATGCGGTTTCTTCGGCCGGTCCGGTTGACGTAATAAACCCACTGCCACCCACATTGCCAGCCAATTGCCCAGTAGCAAATGCCTGTGAACCACGGGTCGGGGCAAACTCTCCCAAGGATCTGGTCCGCCTCGTAGGTCCCTGATTCTCAGAACTATCCACACCATTGGGCAATCCCACTGCTGCGCCGCCGCCTCTCGCTGCATGCTCTGCACCCGTTCCAGCCAGAGTGCCATAATTCGGCCCATCCACCTCGCCACTCAGGATAGCCCTTGGAGCCCTTGGGCTCATAACCTGTTGGTCACGGGGACCCACAGGTTGATGTTGGCTTGATGGATCCATGTTCGAGGTCCTGCAGTTCTTCTCTGTATCGTTCCAATCACAGGGCCATGGCCAGACGGGACGCACTGTTTTCAAATGGCGCACACGAAGATGCCAACAAACTCTGTTTGGGCTTGCCTTCTTGGCTGCTGATGTCTACTGCTGCTGCACGCTGTTTGTCGCATGCCCTTGTCAGCTTCATGCAATCAGCCATGCTGCAGATATATCACACGGCATGCATGACCAGAGGACTTCTTTACAAAATCTCTGACGTTACTCTGTCGGTTGTTGAGTCACGAGAAGAAAACGAAAATGATAGGAACACTAGACACCATCATGAAGCAAAATGATGCAACATGCATGAAAGCGCCGTTCTACACGGCCTACTCAAGCGTAGCACCGGGGGGCCCATCCGCCGGGTATCCGAGGAACTCTGCAGCAAGCACGGCCGGCAGCCTCTCATCATTTGCTTTGCTTAAAGGCCGGTGGCCTCTTTATCTGTTCCCCTTATACCTTCATCATAGCCCCTTGATACCCTAATTAATTAATACGAATCCCGAATACGAAACCTTATTGCTATTGTCCTGTTCTGCTCTCAAAGGCAGCCCAGAAACTCGTAGAGCAGGCGGGACGTCGAGTAGCTGCTCCTGACATCCAAACAGGTTGCATCATTGAGTAGTAATTGAAGTTACAGATGACAGGGGGGGATAGGTAACCAGCCAGCTATGTGTCGGGACACCTCCACAAATCGAAGCTCGTTCGCCAGCACGCGAGTTAGCTTCAGCAAGATAATTGAGGCCCGGACATTACTCACGCTATTCCCGTTGCGCTCATCAAGTGGCCGCAGCAATTCCTGCAGGAGGGCAGCGACTGATAGGAGTCAAAACACATTCTTGGTGCAACTGCCATCTGGGATCAACAACTGTGCATGATTCTGCTGCAACTCTGCCTGATGCAGTGGGTGGGTGGGTGGGTGGGTGGGCGGCCGGGTGCGTGCGTGCGTGCGGGCGTGGGTGTGTGTGTGTGTGTGTGTGTGTGTGTGTGTGTGTCTCTCTCTCTCTCTCTCTCTCTCTCTCTCTCTCTCTCTCTCTCTCTCTCTCTCTCTCTCTCTCTCTCTCTCTCTCTCTCTCCCTCTCCCTGCTTGCCATGCACAAACTCATAACACTCACAGCTAGGTAAGCATGCTTTTCAATATTCAGAGCTGATCATGTCCAAAGACAGCTAAGCGTTTGGAAGGCCTGCTGTTGCCACCGTAACATGCAGCATTTCCGAGGCACATCCACGCCGCCCACGCCCCTCTTTGGAAAAGTATGTCGGCCTGGCCCGAATGCCATTCCGACTTGTCTTAATGCGTAGTTCTTGCTAATCCATTCGTATTCCAAACCATCCGCGCATAGCTGTTTGCAGCATGTGAAGCAACCCAAAGACGGCCCCAAATCATTTCACCAACATGTCGGAGAGTTTCCGAATTGAGTTTGAGCCAAGTTTCCCAACGCGTGAATTTGCTGGAGCGGCATTTGAACACTCGGAGCCCTGGGGGATTCCTATGTGCATCAGGGAGCGCGGCATCTCGATCGCCGTCTGCATCCTTCCAGGTTCAACTTGAACTAACCACCGGCCCTGCACTTCATGGCTAGTTTCGGAGACATGCCAAAGCAGCGCAAACGAGCACTTGCTTTGCAGGCCTTTTTCTGCGCAAGCTGACCTTAGGTCAGCTCAGTCTCGACTTTCACGAGGATTTAAAACGTCGGGACGGATCCGTTTCAGCTCGCCCCTTGTCCTCGAGAATTCGCGAGGACTTACCACACGTCGGGACAAGTCCAAACGAGACACGATCTTCCCCCGGGCAAGGCGTGACATCTGTGCAAATTTGCCAGGTCCAAAACTATATAAAAAATCTATGCGCTTTGGTGGGCCCTCAGTCGTCCCTGTCCTTGTTGTACTTGCGACGGCGACGGTCAGGATCGCTGCTGCAGCCTACGATAACTTGGAAGCTCGTGTTTGTGCTGCCTGCTTGGCTTGTGGCCATGCACGTCACAGTCGTACGTCCGAGTTCGAAGAGCGATCCGGATGGGGGAACGCACTCTGTTTCGAGTCCACAACCTCCGGTAACCGGCACGTCAAAGAAGACCCGGGCAAGGTGGCTCGAACTCTTCGCTCCAGATCCCTTCTTTCCCCTGCAATCGGAAGCCTCGGCGTAGACGTCAGGGTGCTCTCCGAAGCTGGGGAGTTCAGTATCGTTCCCTTTCACCGTCACCTGGAAGTTTGAGGTGGCTATGTTGCCGGAAGGGTCTGTGGCCGTGCACTGCGCACTCGTATTCCCAAGTGGAAACAAGGACCCCGAGGGGGGCGTGCAGGTGGTTTCCACGGCACCACACTCATCAGTCGCGGTAGCGGTGAAGAACACCTGAGCAGAGTCGCTGCATCCTGAGTCTGCTTCTACATCAGCCAGCGGGTGCAGCGTTGGTGGTGTACTGTCGCCGGACACATTCACAAAGAAGGACATGTTGGACAAATCTGCGGCAGTGCAGTGAACCTCTGTGCTGCCCACTGGGAAGAGGCTCCCAGATGTCGGGCCACAAGTTGGAATCACGTCACCACAGTTGTCCTTTGCCTCCACCTGGAAGGTCACCTGAGCGAAGCTGCTGCAAGTGTTCGTGACAATGTCCGGGTGGGCAGTGAAAACGGGTGGCTCGGTTTCACGACCAACGCTGACCTGGAAGCTTGAGGTGGCCACGTTGCCGGAAGGGTCTGTGGCCGTGCACTGCACTGTCGTATTTCCTTCAACAAAGACAGAACCGGATGGGGGCGTGCAGCCGGTTTCCACGGCACCACACTCGTCAGTCGCGGTAGCGTTGAAGAACACCTGCGATGCTTTTGGAAACAGCGAATTCGGGGACCATGGTAGTTGCGATGGTCTTGGAACCAGCGAATCCGGGGACCATGGTATTTGCGATGCTTTTGGAACCAGCGAATTCGGGGACCATGGTATTTGCGATGGTTTTGGAACCAGCGAATTCGGGGACCATGGTATTTGCCATGCTTTTGGAACCAGCGAATTCGGGGACCATGGTATTTGCGATGGTTTTGGAAACAGCGAATTCGGGGACCATGGTAGTTGCGATGGGTTTGGAAACAGCGAATTCGGGGACCATGGTATTTGCGATGCTTTTGGAGCCAGCGAATTCGGGGACCATGGTATTTGCGATGGTTTTGGAACCAGCCACGGAAGCTCCTTGCGATGGTTTTGGAAACAGCGAATTCGGGGACCATGCTATTTGCGATGCTTTTGGAAGCAGCGAATTCGGGGACCATGGTATTTGCGATGCTTTTGGAAGCAGCGAATTCGGGGACCATGGTATTTGCCATGTGTTTGGAACCAGCGAATTCGGGGACCATGGTATTTGCGATGGTTTTGGAAACAGCGAATTCGGGGACCATGGTATTTGCGATGCTGTTGGAAACAGCGAATTCGGGGACCATGGTATTTGCGATGCTTTTGGAACCAGCGAATTCGGGGACCATGGTATTGGCGATGGTTTTGGAATGTACTACAAAAAGTCGACTTTCCAGCCACGGAAGCTCCGCGTGTCCGCGGCGTACTACGTTTGTACTACAAAAAGTCGACTTTCCAGCCACGGAAGCTCCGCGTGTTCGCGGCGTACTACGTTTGTGCTACAAAAATCGACTTTCCAGCCACGGAAGCTCCGGGTGTCCCCGGCGTACTACATTTGTACTACAAAACTCGATTTTCCAGCCACGGAAGTCCCCGGCGTACTACGTCTGTAACGCAAAAAACACTACGGTTTTAGCAACGCGACCACGCGAAAACCCGCAGAGGGGTTACGTTTGTATGTCAAGAAACGCAAAAACACTACGGTTTTTGCACCGCGACCACGCAAAAACCCGCAGAGGGGTTACGTTTGTATTTCAAGAAACGCAAAAACACGACGGTTTTGGAACCGCGCCAACGCCGAAACCCGCAGAGGGTTGTCTGCGCCCACGAAAAAAAGTACCAAAAACGACGGTTTTAGCGCCGCGACCCGGCGATTACCCGCAGAGGGTTGTCCGCGCACAGAAAGAAACATAAAAAAACGACGGTTTTAGCGCCGCGACCACGGGGAAACCCGCAGAGGGTTGTCCGCGGACACAAAGAAACGTCAAAAAACGACGGTTTTAGCACCGCGACCAAGCCGAAACCCGCAGAGGGTTGCAATCCCGATTGGCGATGTCAACCCAGCCCGCCGCCTTAGAAAGAAAAGGTCCAAAAACATCGCAAATACCATGGTCCCCGAATTCGCTGCTTCCAAAACCATCGCAAATACCATGGTCCCCGAATTCGCTGGTTCCAAAAGAATCGCAAATACCAAGGTCCCCGAATTCGTTGTTTTTAAAACCATCGCAAGGAGCTTCCGTGGCTGGTTCCAAAAACCATCGCGAATACCATGGTCCCCGAATTCGGTGGTTCCAAAACCATCGCAAATACCATGGTCCCCGAATTCGCTGGTTCCAAAACCATCGCAAATACCATGGTCCCCGAATTCGCTGTTTCCAAAAGCATCGCAAACACCATGGTCCCCGAATTCGCTGGTTCCAAAAGCATCGCAAATACTCCAAAACCATCGCAAATACCATGGTCACCGATTTCGCAAAATCACATGGTGCTCCAATGCCGGGCGTGCGAAAACATCGCAAATTTCATGGTTATTTAATTCCCGGCGTGCGAAACTCACTTCGGTCAGATTTCACTGTGCTTCTCTGCTCTTTGAAGCTCCAAGGTCTTCTTGGCAACCTCGCGTTAGATGTTTTTGTCTTTTCTTTCATAGCATCGCGTTGACAGGATGTGCACAGCCGAGTCGGGTGCATGCAAGTGAAGTTCATACAGTTCAAGTCCGTTTACTTCAGATCTATTGAATGCCAATGAAGTGTATAGAGTTGACCACAAGTGCATGGCATTCAACTCAACACACTTGAATGCCATGCAGGTCGAGTGCATACACGTCCAGTATACAAGTGCAGTATACAAGTGAGTATGCAACCATATAAGTGCATACACTTAAGTGCATACACTTGTCCAAGTGCATACAGTTCGAGCGCACAGAGTCAAGTGCATAGACTCAACGCACCGCAAATCGATGCTTTCGGGCCAATCGTCTTCTAGTTCCGATCGTGAGCCCCTGGAGCGATATGCTAAGCAGGTCTCGCTTTGAAGTACACTTGGGTCTGCCATGTTCTTGAATGTCAAAGGCGACTTTGAATCCACAGGCTCCGCACTTTGCAGGCATGTTGATGCGGTTGTTTGAAGCGAATGTGTTAGGGGAGGCGTGTGACGTGTGAAATTTCAATTACGGTTTTCTTCCACATACGAACCTGACCGGTGATCTGCCTCTTTGGTGGCTCATTACTTTGGTTTCGACACAGTAAGAGAGTGGCCGGCGGCAGAGCACTTGAGTGGGATTCTGAGAGTTGAGGCTGAGGCTGCGCGACTACTTAAGTGTCCTTTGTGTAGACTTTGGCAGCCCTATAGCTTCGCCTGTTGTGGTTGTGGTGGTTGTGGTGAAGCTCTAGGCTTCGCAGATTATCCACGCACACACGCCTTCCCTGGGTTATCCTGCGGCACCGAGCCCATGCTCGAGCTCTCGGCACTCCTTTGCACATGGTCGCACGGTGCAGCACTGGTCAAGGGGGTTAGAGCTGAAAATGCCTAATTTGAAGATGAAGATGAACTGTTTTAATAGCAAATAACCTAAATCATCCACGATGGCCTAGATTTGGAGGAGAATATAATCCTCCAAATTTAGGCCGGAGAGGGGCTTTCAGGAAAGTTACTGCCCAACAATTACTAACAATTCGCCTCGGCTTGCTGCCGAGAAGCGTCTGGAACAAGCAGACCCGGATGGGGCCTCCTTCCCCCTAACCCACTTCCCCCATGCAAAATTCCGTGATGCCACCCCCCCCCCCCCCCCCCCCCCCCCCCCCCCCCCCCGACCCCGCCCAACCGCTTGGAGGAGCTGGAAACCGATGCCGTGGAGGGTCCCGCCTGTCGGTGGGTCCTAGGGGAGCGCCTCAAAACCGCCCCCCACCCCCCTCCCCCTCCCTACCCCCCCCCCCCTTAACCCCGCTGCCCTTCCTCCCCTTTTTTTGCGAAACCCTCTTTCCTCCTTTCCTGTCCTGGGGCCGGCCTGGCTGCCGAGGCGGCGCGCGCAAGCGTTTACAATTTTGATGATGATCAAAGATCATCAAAATTCATAATAGTATTTACCTCGAGAGGGGCTAAGCCTAAGAAAGTGCTCCTCCAGAAAAAGTTTGTTGTGTCGGCAATCGAGGGCTAAGCCCAAGAAAAGTCTACGATTTCTACAAATTCACGATGTTCCAAGCCGCTCGGGTCTGTGGGTAACATGCTGAAGATTGCTAAACCCTAGCTGCCCTAACTGCTAATGTCCTAATCAAAGCCTTCACCCGAAAGCGAGGTAAGGCTTCGTGTTTTTACTTGTGGGTTTACAATTCATCTAAATAGGTCCGCCTCATAACTTCCACAGCCCCAGTGGGTGAAAACAAGCCCGCCTGAGCGCAGTCTTTGCATCCACCATCCATTGCTACATCAACCAGCGGGTGCAGCGTTGGTGGTGTACTGTCACCGGTCACATTCACAAAGAAGGACAGGTTGGCGGAGTTACCTGACAGATCCACAGCAGTGCAGTGAACCTCTGTGCTGCCCACTGGGAAGAGGCTCCCAGATGTCGGGCCACAAGTTGGAATCACATCACCACAGTTGTCCTTTGCCTCCACCTGGAAGGTCACCTGAGCGAAGCTGCTGCAAGTGTTCGTGACAATGTCCGGGTGGGCAGTGAAAACGGGTGGCTCGGTTTCACGACCGACGCTGACCTGGAAGCTTGAGGTGGCCATGTTGCCGGAAGGGTCTGTGGCTGTGCACTGCACTGTCGTATTTCCAAAAGCAAAGACAGAACCGGAGGGGGGTGTGCAGCTGGTGACCACTGCGCAGTTGTCAACAGCCTCCACGTTGAAGTGTACCCGCGCAAAATATTGGCAGGTGCTCTCCTGAATGTTAGGGGGGGCCACAAAAGACGGGGGCTCGTTGTCAACGACCTCCACTTGGAAGTAGTGTGTCTCATTGCCCTGTCCATCGTCGCCAGAACAGATAACTTCATGGCTTCCGGCAGCAAGAGCGGTGCCTGCCACGGGGTTGCAGCTGTAGTCCGCGTTGGGGATGCAGCCTTGCAGAGAAGGGGAGGCGGTACAAAGCCCTGGATCAGTGGAGACCTGGATGGGAAGGCTTCCACAGGTTGCCAGCTGGTCCACGTTGATGTTGTAGTACATCTCCAACAATGCCGTGCCATTTTGGGAGAAGGTTCCGTTCACGCCGAATTGTGCAACCCAGTCTAGATAGAAAGTCTTCTTCCGGTTCCCTGCTTGGTCATACAACCTGAGCATTACCTCATGGTCAGAGCGGATAGTGATCAAGATCCTCAGCCACTGACCCCGTAGACTGCCTGAAGGGTATGATGTGAATGACGAAACACCAGGACCCCAATTCTCGAGGTTCACGTAGCGAAATAGCAAGTGCTGGCTGCCGAACCTAGGAATGTCCAAGTACAGAGCTTTGGTGCCGGAGCTGGTGGTGTCAAAGCCGAGGGTCAGGCGGCCCCAGTTGTACCCTGCAGTCCCTTCCGGCTCCTGGTAACGAATCCAGGCTTGCAGGGTGCTGCCTGTCTTGCTTGTGACAGGCGATGGCCAAATGACTCCGTCAAGGTAATTGCTCCCTGTGTATCCATTCAGGTACCGGCTAGTACCCGCGGCGCCATCACCAGTCTTGACCTCACCCCTGTTCGAAGAACTTTGGTAGGTCAAATGGGAGAATGGCCAGGTCCCCGACTCAAAATCCTCGAAGATCGCGTAGGGTGCAACCCCCACTTTGGATTTGGCAGCGCGCTGGATGCTCTGAGCCAAAGCCGCGGGCACAGTCGCCTCAACCTGGGCATCGTCGACTTCGCCCGGAGGCCAATTCCTGGCATCCAGGATGTTTGCGATGAGATCCTCCGGGCATTCGTGAGTCCAACGACGGCTAAATCCGATAGGGTCCTGTTCCTCATTCGCCCAGCTGTAGCAGTCCTCTGCGGAGTTTCTTTCCGTGCCTGCCAACGTGGGCTTTGAGAAATTCGAGGCATTGATGATGACGCAGCACCCTTCGTCTGGGTTCTGCACCAGCTTCCCTCCCAGCTGCCCTCCATGCTTGTGCATCTGTAACAGGCCCACCATCTCGTTTGCTTGACAGTTGCCTGGATTGGGGTATGCCAGCAGTCCGGCGGCGAGGTGAGCCACGGACACGAGAACACCACAGTGCATCTGGGACCACATCATGCGAACAAAACGGAAAAAGCTGCTGGCAGCTGCTGGCTATAGGGTTTGAGCCAACCTCCGGACATCATCGAAGCCACATGCCGCCACCTGGAACTCATCCTCTGCCTTTTGCCCCCCGCGATTTCGAGCGAAACTCGCGGACCCGACAGCAGAGCGAGCCCTCGGCCAATCTTTCTGACCTACCCTTGGGCAAACACTCTTTGAGATTGGGGATGGCGCCCAGAATTCGGCAGTTTGGGCAAGCGCCAAGCTTAAGTGGGGATCCCGGCGCACACTAGTACCTTCGAAAGATGAAGCAAGCGATTGCAGCTGTGCAGAGCACGCGCGAAGGCGCCTCCTCACGCGGTGTCACAGCCTCGTCCGCCTCGCGCGACTTCCCGGCCGCCTCATCCAAACACAATAGCTGACAATTGCAGTTGCCCGACCAATGCGAAAAGAACACATAAGCAGAAAGCAAGCGGAATATCTGCCAGTAGGTATGCAAAGATTCTTCACCTTGCGAAAGTGTAAGGAGTTGTCACGTTGGATCACTTGCACACTTGGGACACGCGGGACACTTGGGTCGCTTGGAACACTTAAGCATTTGGGAAACTTGGGAAACTTGGGACACTTGGGACATGTGGGACACTTGGGACATTTAAACAGAGGAAGCTGTGACGCTGGTGCACTTGGACGCTTGGGACACTTGGACATTTGGGTTCTGGGACACTTCGGAGACTTGGGACACTTGGGACACTCGTGGGATACTTGGGACACTTGAGGCATTTGGGACGCTCGGACACTTGGGATGGGACACTTGGACAATCTTGGACACTCGTGACACTCGGGACACTTGCACTTGGCGGGACACTTGTTGCACACCTGGGACACTGGTGGGACACTTGGACACTTGCAAATTTGGGACACTTGGGACGAACTCTGGAACACTTGGGAGTGTACACTTGGAACACTTCGGACATGTGGGGGCACTTGTTGCACACTTGGCACACTTGTGGGACGCTTGGGACACTTGGCACACTTGGGGCACTTGGGACACTTGAGGCAGTGTCCCAAGTGTCCAAGTGTTACCTTTCTTAAAGACAGGGAAAAAGCAGCTTTGAAGGAAGTGTCAATCCCAGTTTGTGTGCCTCGCAGGCAGCCGTACCATCCGCAGGCACATGGGGGGGCCGGAGGCCGGGGTTGAGTTGTGGTTTGTCCTGTCGTTTGTGGTTGGTTCCTGAGCGCTTAACATTTAGGCTTAGGGTTTACTTGGCGGTTTAGGGTTTAGGGGCCTCGGTGCGTACAAGCCAAGTCAAAGGAACCAGTAAGCCTTTCAATGATTTTCAGGACCCCTGCTCTAAGGCCCTACTACTGAAACGCCATGTTAGCAGCTCACAAAGTTGCGAGGATAAGAAACTCCTTGTTTTGCAAGCGCGAGTCGGCTTTGCCTGAGAGTGAGATGTTAGCAGCAGTTGGAGGGTTCTGCTGTTGCGTGCGCTGTGGCACGGCGGGTGAGATGTGGATGAGCGTGGCCTTGCCATCCTGCCACCGCCTCGCCGACGCAGACGTGTAGCACAGGAAAGGGGCTCTAGAGTCAGAAGCGCGGGCTTTGGCAGACTCTGGTTCTTTTGCACTGAATGTTGCACATGCGGGATGCAGGTGCCTCGCTGCACTATCGTGCAACTAACTTGCCACAGGCCCCTGAGGCATCTGGCCATATCTGGCCCATCAGGTGCTAATCTAGATTTCGGTGCAACATGTGGGAAGTGTCGGAGGGACACCTGCCATCAGGCTAGCAGCATGACAGCCACGTGCTGGAAGAGTGCAATTGCTTGCGCCAGCAATCGCCAGAACTCGTCATGAACTCGATGCTTTGGACTATCTCATGAGGATGAACCTCCAAGTGAGTATAGCGACGAGACGAAAAGCTGTAGGCTTGAGGTGGCTTGAGGCGGCTTGAGGCCCCTCGGAATGGCACAATATGTGGCTCCGTCTGCGACTCGGAGTGCAGAGACCTTTAGACGTATGTACCACCATACTGAGGACTGTGTGCACTGGCAGAGAGGACCCCATTGGAAAAGGAGCTTGGGCACCTCAGGCGGTGACACCATGACACACTCCTGATACTGCATCACGGCATCACATCACTGACCGAAGTGGAGGCTGGAGAGGCGTCCTGAGCTGTGCAGAGACCCTGCGGCCGACGTTCCCAGTGAGGGCAGGTGCCCTTCGCAAGGCGCTTGGCAAAAGGCAATATCCCCGATGAGCCCGATGAGCCCGACGAGCTTCACCAACAACGCCAAGGAACTGCGAGCTCACTGCTCCTTGGGGGAAGGTGTCGGCAATGCTGGAAAGCGGACGTGATGCGCTGAGAGCTTGGGCGTTGCCGCAGCGGCAACTTCTTGCCCGTGTCCTTCGGGTTCAAGGTCGAAGGATCTAGGGGGTTTCGGGGCTTAAGCGTCAAAGGTTCAGGGCTTCAGTGTTTGGGGCTTGGGCTTGAAGGCCCTATAGGGGTTTCGGATTCAAGGCCTCTTGGGCCAGGCGCGAAACAGGTTGCTCCAACCCTAAAGCCCTAAAACCAAATGAGCCCCTTGGTCAGAACCCGAAGGTCCTGCGGCTTGGGATTTAGGTTTCCCGCTGCCCAGGCGTCTGCCAGGTTGCTGTTTCTTTCCTGGTAGCGAAGTAGCTAGAACCCCTGCCTAAGCCGCGAACCCCAACCCCCAGGTACAGTCCACAGTTAGCCCAGTAGCGTCCTCTATCATCAGGATTTAGTGAACTCGGAAGGGCAAAGGGGGGGTAGGGTTTACAGGGCTTATAGGGTTTAGGATTAAGGGCTTCAGGGTTTGGGAAGCTCCTACCTCTTCACCACCTCTGCTGGACAAAGCATAACAAGCCTAGGAAACCCTAACCCGAAATCCTGGAATCCATTTCAATTTCGGCTGATCCCCCTAAATCCTGCACCCGGCTGCCGCAGAAAGGCCAAAACCCTAAACCCCTAGAAGCCTACAACCCTAAACCCAAAAAGCTGCCCAATTCTGCCAAAGAAGCAAGTTGACGTGAGGCCGCCCAGGTCCTCCTTGCCCCAAAAGCCTTCGGGGCCGCAAGCGAGTTGTCTAGGGATTAGGGGTGTTGATAGGTTTTGCCGTTTGGTTTGGTTGAGAACCCCCAGTAGTTCATATCATAGAAAACCTCAAAACAGCCCCCTAAGTCTCACACCGGGCCCAGCCTGGGCAGGGCCTGAGCTCCCACTCAGGGACTGGTCCAGGCCTCTGCCTCGAATGCTGAGGGTTGTCAAGGTTGTTAAGGTTGTTAGAATGGTCTGAGAATGATTCGAGAATGGTTGAACGAGTTGAATGTCGTTTGATGTGTTTCGGGTTTTGGGGTGAGGGATGCTTCAGGGACTGAGGCTCTGGGGGCTTTTGTGGGGGGAGAGGGCTCTGGTCGGGAGACTTCATGGCTTCAGGCCCAGGCACTTTGGAATGCAGCCGGTCAGCTTCGTGAATACATCGACATGCGAGGGAAGAAGTGCGCGAACCCATTGCCAGCAGCAACAGCAACACAACGACCCGTGGTCGCAGGTTCCAATGAACTGCAGAAGGCCGTGTCCTCCTGGGAAAGCTGCATCACCAACAGCCAGAACAGCCAAGATTGAGCCGCACTGATAGTACAGATGCTAAGAAGCTTGGGGGATTCATCTGGTTGATGACGCCCAGTGATTTGGGCAAGCAATCACTGAATTCACGCCCAACCGCGAAACCCAAGGAGTGGATTCACCCGTATACTAACGGTCCTTTGTTAAGGGATTATAATAGGGGGTATTCAATTCCGCAATTAAGGACTGTTTAGTAGCCCTAAACCCTAAACCCTTAGGGGGAACATCCCAACCTTAACCCAGCGCGAGGACTGCGAAGCGCCGGCCGATGAGCGTCATCGCCGAGCCCGAAGTGCTATGAAGGATTTCCAGCGAGGGTCAGAAGGAGCGACACGTGTAATTCGTGGAAGCAGTGATGAGCCTCTGCGATCCTAGACGTTTCAATGTCTGAAATTGCAGCTTTCCTCCCCCTTGCCAGACGCCAGACTGTGACTTGCAACCACGCATTCTTGGACGAATGCCGAACATATCTGCTGAACACACTTTAGGGCCTTTAGGGTTCAGTGCCTCATCCTGCTGGACTCGATGCGATAGGGCCATGGGAGTCGCGGCTGCAGTGTGACCACCTGCACACCACTCTAAACTCCGTCCTCAGCGACTGTGACTCCAGACTCTCCAGACAGGCCACAAAATGAAAGGCCCTAGGGCGCGCCTTCTTCGTTTGTGTCTGAATTGAGGGAGTTGAGGTCATGCAAAGTGGTGAATCAGATAGGACGGGAAGAACCCCGCCGCGTGAGCATGTGCTCACTAAGTTGGCACCACGAATGCCGCAGCAAGCGCTCGCTGCGAGCATGCACGTTGGATAGGACGGGCACGTGCTGTCGGCGCGCCACAACAAGCCCTAAGGCCCTAAGTTGAGGCCCCCCCAGCTTTCAGGGCATTCCCCAAAAGGCACGCGGTTTTTGCTAGTCGTCTTGGAGGACGCCGTGGCAGGTCATGGCCCATGGCTGACCACTGTAGAACTAGGCAAACAGGCGTGAAAGGTGATCTTGCTTCCGCAGAATGCAACGAGACGCACATGGGAGGGAGTAGTGTAGATTTGGCGCTGCCAAATGCAGTCGGCGGCTGTCGGCGCTGCTGTTTCAGTGCACACGCTGGCCACTAAAGTGGTGTCAAGCGCTCCATGTTCAGGGGGTGGAGCGTGTGAGGGCCTGGCATGCTATGGCTCCAGACCGGAATCACCATACAATCTAAATGTGAATGCCCCAGAGCATGAAGCCTCAAGGACCTCAACCACACTCAACAATTGCAACGCTTCAGTTGGGAGCACAACAGAGTTGTCCTTCACAGTGTTTCACAGCGCCGAAGGTTTGAAAATCCCTTGGAGAGGGCAAGGTGCCCTTGAGTTGCTCAGCTCCTCGATCTTGAT